AAACAACTTTCAGTGAAAACTATTAATAACCAACATGATAATATTACATTCATGGATGGACTAAAGAAACTGTAAATAAGTAAAATCAAGTTAAATTGATAGCTTACCCGCGGTTATGTGGGATGAGTACTACTTGTTCCAAGTTACTCATGTCTTTAACCTATTGGTTAGATGTCTATAACAAGTTTCTTAAGACATAATTTGTGGTACAATGTTGTCAGGGTCAACCACCAAGAACTTCTTATGTGTCTCCTCCTCACATTCATTCCAAAGATACCTAAACATATAATTGTAAAACATTAAACTTCATAGTTAGCGACGTTAAGATATGAAATAGATTTAATATACTTACACGATGTACGTGAGCATACACATATAGCCTATTTGAATCATTTCGCAGTATTGCATGATGTCATCACGTGTTAAACCAATGATCTTCTCCATTCCAAATATGTAATCACCGATATTGAATTCAATTACATCCTCGTTGTTCATTGAACGCACGTCATATTGATTTAGGAGTTTAATAGTCATGTGGACATCAATATGTTCAGATGATTGTGTTCTTGGCTTGGATGTTCGAGGAGAAGGAACCTTTGACAAACAAAATTACAAACAACATTTAACAAACGAAAAGTTCAAACTTCACTCAAGTTAGAACAAGACATACATTTTTCTCCTCATTTAAAATTACTAGTCGACGAGGCCATGCCACAAAGCTACCAATGGTTTGATTTAATGTCTCTATCTCACCCTTCATAAGAATTGGTATCGTAGCATCTTCGCCCATGACAATATCTACGATCACTCTGACATTGTCCACACCTAATGGCACTCCATGAATTGTTGGACTTTGAACGTTATTATCAAATACTGTGCCAACTACAACAATGTTCTCCACCGATCCAATAGCCAGATGAGACAGTTTTCCCTTAGAAAATTTAAAAGCAAAATGTTAAATATTATGCACAAAAAAGATAAGTGTCGTGCCCAACAAYAGTAAGTGACAAAACTAAAACAAATTAGTTACCATTGTTGGTTGTTCGTTTGGGATAAAAACTTTAGTAGGTGCATTGACAACTTCCTTCCCTTTCTCCTTTTTCTTTGAGACATTACTGACTTTAGTTGTGGATTTTTTTGGTTGTGAGCTCTGAGTCTTCAATTCAGCTTGGTCTTGAGGTTGCAATCCCAAATTTGACTTCCTTTTGGCAACATTAAAATATAGGGATGGTGAAACAAACTCACCTAATGGTTTCTTCAAATTATATAACTTCAACAATGCAGATATTTTGGTAAAGTTCTTACAATTTGAATATAATGGTTTCTTCGCATCACCCARTACCTCCTCGAAATTTTGTGGATTTTCATCAAAGTAATCATATGCAGCCTCAAACATCCCTATTGTGTCATCAAAGTTGTCATCCTCAACTTCTTCTTGTACACTATCAGACATACTTTCAATGTTTCTCTTAATCGGTAGTGATTCACCATGCAAAATCCATGTCTTATAGCTTTAATCAATACCATAAACAAATAAGTGATCTCTTACTACATTGACATTTTGAGACTTTGCATTCACACACTTTAAAYATGGACAACAAATGACATTTGATCTTTTTGAATGTCATAATTCATTTTCAATAAACATCTCAACCCCTAAACTATACTCGGTTGACATTTTATTTTTTGTCATCCACGACTTATCCATGACTAAATTTATGAAAGTTTAATCTACAAAAAGAAAAAACAATGGTTAAGCTTGTGTACTTTGTCGGGTTCTTAAGAAGTAAAACAGGAAATGATTAAGAAACAAATGGTTGATAAGGTGGGGTGTGTAAAGTGGTAGCTAGTAMACATGGAAGGTTATAACAGAAATATAGATGGACYCCACCTGCCTGTACTCTACATTCACCCACAGAAGAAAAAATGTTTGTTATTATTGTTATTATTATTATTATTTTAACTTTCAAAGGTTTGTAGAAAATGCTGCAAAAAAGAAAAAGAAAAACAAATCTGATTCGGGTCTTTGATCTTATTTGTTTATTTTTTTCAATGATCAGATGGAAGCTCATYTGCACGCTGATTTGGGTCAGTTTGAAGGGTGAGTGAATATAGATCTGAAAGTAGTATTATTATTGATGGGAGTAGCAAAGTGCACAATAGAATTGAGAAGACAAGAAAGTAGAGACTAAAAGAGGTGAATGGCGTGTGGAATTAGAATTTTAAAATATGTCAATTGTCATTCCATTCGGCTTCACCCTTTTGTCGACTTTGGTTAAATTCTATGCCCAAGACAAGACAAAACCATTTTATGCCCAAGACAAGACAAAACTAACTGCTTTCATGTCTTCTAAATCCACACATCTCAATTCAATTCACCAAGCAGCAGCAACAACACTTAACCAATTCAAATGATGACTAGGACTACCAATCTAAAATCTACAAGATGAGATAGAGAGTAGGTGAAGGCGTAGGCGAGAGATGATTAGTTTGTCAAGTGGTGATAAAGTGAAATGGCAAGGGACAGACAAAATTATTTTCCTCCTTCCCTATTCAATTTCAGGTTCTTTAGTTTTTTTCCTCTTCATTTTCCATTTTCCGAATCTTCTTCTCCCTCCAACAAACAATATTATCCCCTTCCCTTCCCTTCCCTTCCCTTCCCTTCCCATCCCATCTAAACCCACTCCAATATTTTTTTTTATTTCATTCGTGCAACAGGGCACAACAGAGAAAGAGAAAAAAAACTAAAGTTAAAGATAAAATAACATAAACTCAAACCATAAGAAAATGAGAAGTTACCAAACTAGAGGGAGATGAAAACGAGCTAATACTAGGGAATAGAAGAGAAGAAGAATGAAACCTTCGATGTTGTGGCCGCCGCCTAATATATTCGCTCGTCGCCGCTGCCTACCGCCGAATTGAAGCTCGCCGCTGCCGGAAAATCACTCCTGGACCGTCGCTCGCACCGCCGTTCATGGCTATTCGTTGGCCTTCCCAT